TGTGTGTCACTGTCGCCAGGCAGTCGTACTCCAGGTAGGGGCGCAGCTGATGGATCAGCCAAAGCTGAAGGAAAGCACTCCTCGCCACTGCTGTCACCTGAGCTTCCAATGAAAGCTCTGGGTCGAGGAGCACTCCCAAGTTGCGGACCTTGTCCCTAAGAGGGAGTGCAACCCCATTCAGGACTAGGTTCAATTCACCCTCCCCGAAGCCCGATCCGCCAACCAACAGGACCTCCGTCTTGTCTGGATCGAGCTTCTGTTTATTGGCCCTCATACAGCCCATTACCTCAGCCAGGCACCGGTTCAGCACAGCCACTGCCTCACCTGGATTGGTGGAGAACGAGAGGTAGAGCTGGGTATCATCAGCGTACTGATGATTCCGCAGCCCACACCACCTGATGACCTCTCCCAGCGGTTTCATGTAGATGTTAAACAGCAAAGGGGACAAAATGGAGCCCTGTGGTACTCCATGGCATAGCCGCCATGGTGCAGAGTCATAGTCCCCCAGCACCACTTTCTGGTATCGGCCGTTGAGATAGGAGCGAAACCACTGCAAAGCAGTGCCTCCGACCCCCAATCCCGCAAGCCTATCCAGAAGGATACCATGGTCGATGGTATCGAAAGCCGCTGAGAGGTCCAGAAGAACCAACAGGGACACACTCCCCCTGTCTTTCTCCCTGCACTGGTTATCGTACAGGGCGACCAAGGCAGATTCAGTACCATACCCGGGTCTGAAGCCGGACTGAAATGGGTCCAGATAATCAGTTTCATCCAAGAGTGCTTGGAGTTGTCCCGCCACCACCTGCTCCAACATCTTGCCCAGAAATGGGATGTTGGCCACTGGTCTATAATTAGTGGCCATCTCTGGATCCAGAAACGCCTTCTTCAGGACTGGTTGGACTACCGCCTCTTTTAAAGGGGCAGGTATCCGGCCCTCCCTCAGAGAGGTGTTAACCACTTCCAAAATCCAGGTCCCTATCCCATGCTTGGCGTTGTTAATTAGCCAAGATGGGCAAGGGTCCAATAGGCAGGTAATGGGACGTACTCATCCAAGCTTGTCCTCATCAACAGGCTGCAGTAACTGAAATTCATCCATCAATTTTGGACCAGATGGCGACATTGGTATCTCCCCAGAAGCCTCTGAATCACTAGTGGAGTCCAGCTCATGACGAATCTGAGCGATTTTCTCCCTGAAATGCTTGGCAAAGTCGTCACAGCGGGCCTTCGACGGTGGAACTGGATCTTTCTTAGGGCCAGGATGAACCAG